AGAAATGAGAATTCAATACAACAACAACAACAACAACAACAACAACAACAACAACAACAACGACGACGACGACGACGACGACGACGACGACGACGACGACGACGACGACGACGACGACGACAACAACAACAACAACAAACACAACAACAACAACAAGCACAACAACAACAACAGCAGCAACAACAACAACAACATCAACAACAACCACAACAACAACAACAACAACAACAACAACAACAACGACGACGACGACGACGACGACGACGACGACGACAACAACAACAAGCATCATTGTAAGAATGTTCGCTCTTATCTGCTCGAGTGGCATTCGACGCGTATTTCCCAAACCCTCCATACCCGCCCTCTTCGTCTTCGATCGAACCCCTTTTGGGGGGGTATACCTTTCTTCCCTGCAGGCCGGGCCCCGGCAAGCGGCGGAGCGGCCGCGGACCGTCGGCCTGGCTAGCGGCAGCGCTGATCGGCGGCAGCCCGACCCCAAGAGGGACGGACGGGGAATCGACCACGACGACGACGACGACGACGACAACGACGACGACAACGACGACGACGAGGGAAACCGAGAGCGAGACCGAGAGCGACAGCGACAGCGGGGCCACGAAGGGCAGGAAGGAGGCCACGAAGGGTGTCAGCGGGGCCGCGAAGGGCATGCGTATGGGGCCACGACGGGCGCGGCGCGAACGAGCGGGGGCCACGAAGGGCAGATAATGCGCGGCCACAGAGGGCCCACTGAGAGTATCAACGCGGCTACGTAGGACAGCGACGGGGCCAAGAAGGGCGACAGCGGGGCCACGAAGGGCATGCATATGGGACTACGAAGGGCGCGAACGAGCGGGTGCCACGAAGGGCATACGTATACTGGGCTGCAGAGGGCAAGGACGCAGCCACTGAGGGCAGCGAGGGGGCCACGAAAGGCAGCGAGGGGGCCACCAAGGGCGACAGCGGGCCACGAAGCGCATGCATATGCGGCCACCACGGGCGCGAACGAGCGGGGGCCACGAAAGGCATACATATATGGGGCCACGGAGGACAGCGAGGGGTCCACGAAAGGCTGCAACGGGGCCACGAAAAGCAGCGAGGGGGCCAGAGGGGCTGCAACGGGGCCATAACGGGCAGCGAAGGGGCCATGAAGGGCTGCAACGGGGCCACGTAGGGCAGCGAGGGGGCCACGAAGGGCTGCAACGCGACCACGAAGGGCAGCGAGGGGGCCACGAAGGGCAGCAAAGGGGCCACGAAGTGTAGCGAGGGGGCCACGAAGGGGTGCAACGAGGCCACAAATGGCAGCGAGGGCGTCACGAAGGGCTGCAACGGGTGCACGAAGGGCAGCGAGGGGGCCACGAAGGGCTGCAACGGGGCCACGAAGGGCAGCGAGGGGGCCACGAAGGGCTGCAACGGGGCCACGAAGGGCAGCGAGGGGGGCACGAAGGGCTGCAACGGGGCCACGAATGGCAGCGAGATCCCGATGCCGAGCGTTAGCGCGACTCCTGGGAGTCCCAAGCGTTAGCGCGACTCCTGGGTGCCTGAGTGTCGGGAGCGCGGGGCTTGAGCAAATTGCGGGGAGTTCCAACGCAACAGCGCGATTCTTCGGTTAAGTGCAAACAAGCCTCCAGCGAGACCGCGCCTCCAGAGCGCCGAAAGAACGATTCTTGAATAAATTGTAAGGAAGTCCCAAGCGAGAGCGCGACTCCTGAGTGAAATGCAAGGAAAACTCAGGCGGGAGCGGGGGTCCTGGCTAAATTATGAGGAGGGCCCATGCGGGAGCTGTTGTTGTTGTCGTAATCTGGGGACCAGCGGCCCAGTGGAGCCCCGTGACTTTCCCTGGACACGAAAACAGGGTGCGAGCCCCAAGGAAACCACTTCGATGGAAAAAACACCGATGGTCACGGGAGGGAATACTGAGAGCGCAACAACAACGAGGACACCAACTCAACAACAATCCGCACTGCGGAATCCCACTTCAGCCACGTGCTCAGAAACAATGAATGACCGTTCGGCCCCCTCACTCTGATAAACTACAATGTGCAGGTTGCACCGCTCCCACGATTGACTAAGCAACCCCTCGAACGACCATGCAACATGAAACAGCATGCTTCCTCATCCAGCACTAACGTTCTCACGTGTGCCATATGACCTTATCACTTGGAGCAGTACAAGTTTATGGCACACATCACAGCTAATACATGAACATTCTCCATTGTTCAGATAAGAACCAAGTAGTGCGAAACACTACACAGCTGTGGTTCGGAAGCTGACCAGATCTCCGACGATAGCCCTAAGGATTCAGCAAGACGAATGACAGTTGCTCACTTCCAAAACAACACTAACGCTACTCCCAACTAGAAGAAAGTAAAATACAGCCTCGAATGCCAATTCTAACTCTGGCACCCATGCTGTCCGCCAGCTGCATTTGATTTCTAAATCGAGACGGCTGGTTGTAGTTACTGCCGCTGGATTTTCGGCCGTTTGAGAAGTGGCACGAACGGTTGGAATCTGTACCAGCCGATTGGGATTGGTGCGTCATGCGGGCACGGGGGGAGGAAGGGGTCTCCAGGCTCCTCAACGCTCCCCTGGGGCCTCCGGAGCCTTCATTTCTGCACTACGTGGCCTCCAAGATGCATCAGATCCCACCAGCCCTTTGGGCGTGAGTGGTTTAGCGAGCTTTCTCTGTCCTCAACCCCCCTTCTTCCCCTTCGGGGAGGGGTTTACCCCTCCCCCTACCCCCTCCCCCTGGGCCTGGACAGGGACTCCCGAGTGTTCTCAGGGGGGTCTTTTTCGACTCCTGGGAGGGCCAAAAAACGACGACCCCCCGACGGGGGGATTGAGAAAAAACCCTCTCCTCTTCTGTGAAGCCAAAAACATTGATTTTACTAGGGTTTTGGCCCCATCTTGGCCTTCTGAGGGGGCCGCGCTCATCTTCCCTCATAGCAAAATCATTGATTTTACAAAGGTTTTGGGCTCGTTTTGTCCTTCTCAGGGGGCAGCGCTCATCTGCGCTTCTGAGGAGGTCGCAAGAGGCCCCAAGATGGCCCCAAGAGGCCCCCAGGAGGCTCCCAAGAGGCCTCCAAGAGGCCCCCAAGAGGCCCCCAAGAGGCCCCAAGAGGTCCCCAAGAGGCCTCCAAGAGGCGTCCAAGAGGCCCCAAGAGGCTCCATGAGGCCCCCAAGAGGCCCCCAAGAGGCCCCCAAGAGGCCCCCAAGAGGCCCCAAGAAGCTCCAAGAGGCCCCCAAGAGGCCCCACGAGGAGCCCGAACGACTCACACCAGGACGAGAGACCCCAACGACTCACACCACGAGGAGCCCGAACGACTCACACCACAAGGAAGGGCCCGAACGACTCACACCAGGACGAGGCGCCCGAACGACTCACACCACGAGGAGCCCGAACGACTCACACCACGACGCGGGCCCCGAACGACTCACACCACGAGGAGCCCGAACGAGTCACACCAGGAGGAGGGGCCCGAACGACTCACACCAGGATGAGGGGCCCGAACAACTCACACCACGAGAAGCCCGAACGACTCACACCCGGACGAAGAGCCCGAACGACTCACACCACGAAGAGCCCGAACGACTCACACCAGGAAGAAGGGCCCGAACGACTCACACCAGGACGAGAAACCCCAAACGACTCAAATCACGAGGAGCGCTCTCTCTCCCTCCTCCTCCGCCTCGTCCTTCTCCCGCTCCCCCCACAAGGAGGATGTACAAGGAGGCGGGAGGAAGGAGGAACAGGGGAGATATGCGGGGCCAAGCGGACACACGCCTGAAAAACACGACTGTCGGCATGCTTCGCAAGAGTTGCTGCTGTGAGATGGGCTGGTGGGGATACGCGAAGCGTAAAGAATTCCATCTGAGCTTGCTGAAGCTGGGCTCCAACATGCCAGAGAGACATCGATTACAACCAGGATAGCCTCAAGACGGCCAAAGAAACCTCCAAGAAGCCCCCAGGCAACTCCCAGAGAACCCCCACGAGGGTCCCAAGAGGTGTCAGTCGTCCCAACTCAATCGGAAAAAGTGCATCTTTAGCTGATCAACCCTTTTGGTTTCAACCGCGTCAAAAGCGGCCCACGAGGCCCCCAGCATCGCTACAGGACGGCCTAAGAGGTCTCTAAGAGGACCCCAGGACGGCCCAAGCGAGCCCGAGAACAGCCCAGAAGGCGTCCAAAACGGCCTAAGAGGGCCACAAAAGAAAATGAATCCGGAACCCAAGAGGGGAAACTCGAACTGACATTCTGAGCCCTCCGCCCCAAGAGGACTCCCGAGACCGCCAGCAGGCGCTCAACGAACCCCCAAGAGGCGTCAAGAGGAGTCCAAGATGCCCAGAAGATGCCCCCATAGGCCCCTCAAACCGTTCCCAAGAGGCACGAGGCCTCACCATTGGACTTCGTTTCTCCTCTGGGGGTATCATGACAATCAGCAGCATCAACGTCATCACCACCACCACCGCCATCATCATGATCATCGTTATCATCGTCGTCGTCATTATCATCATCAACATCATTATCATCATCAACATCACCATGTCGATTAGCATCAACATCAGCGTCATCATAATCAGCCTAGCCTCTCAATCGTCATCATCATCGGCATCATCGTACCCACCACCACCACCAACACGACCACCACCATCATCATCACCATCAGCATCAACATCTCCATCACCACTACCACCACACACAATCATCATCACCACCATCAAAATCACAACGGCCACCGCACTTCATCATCAACATCGTAAGCACCACCACCACCACGCACAATGATCATCGTCGGCAACATCATCACAACCATGATCATCGCCATCCTCATCGCCCTCATCCTCATGATCCTTCTCCCCCTCCTCCGCCTCACCATCCTTAATCCTGTCGCCGCCGTCATCGTGACACTCATGTTCATCACAACCAGCAGCATCATCGACGCAACCATCATCACCGTCGTCATCACTGTTACTTCCATGGCGGCGCGGCGGCCGCGACTCCCGCCTGTTGTGCATCAGGGGGCTGCGAAGCTGCCCCTGGATGTAGTCGAAAAAATCCTGGCGCCGCGGGGGAGAGCCGCAAGGGAACGAGGGCGGACACGAGCAAGGGTGACCGAAGACCAGAGGACGGGCAACGGAGAGGAGCGGAAGACGAGCTACGTGCGCTCGCGCCACGTCCGGCCTCCTATCATCCCCTCCTGCCCCTGCCACTTGCGCCTGTGAACGATGTGGAAGCGCGGGCGCGGGCCGTACCGGACCCAAAACTCCACGCACGACCGGCAGAAGGCGCACCTCAGCGTCCAACTTGCGTTGCCTGCTTGTCCTGCGCCTTGTCGCGCGCACCTCGTCGCGCGCGAGGAAGGTTACGCGAGCGCGTTTGCTCGACTTGCCCTCCACGTGGGCCGACCTCGCGGCGATGACGATGATATTGGCGATGATGATCATGGCTGTTGGGGTACAATTGAATGAAGCGTTCATGTCGCTGCAAAGACTTACAATGGAATTGTGGAAAACCGATCGGCGATCCAACGGTTTCGAGGCTGCCACACCCTCGCGTCGTGTGCCGAGCGCGAAAGTCAACGACAACGCGCACATACAGCTTCGAAGACAGCCAGCATAGCACCGTCGATGTATAATATAAATATATATATATATATATATAGATGCTGAGCGGGCATGCGCTGCAACATGGAGCAACGAACTCCTTCTGCCCATGCGCCGAGTGCGAAAACATCCGAAGGCATGCGCGCCAACATAGCGATGGGCTCCATGTTTCGGGGCAAACGGCCGAAGCTTCCATCTCATATTCGGACGATGACGGCGGCAAGTGTTTCCTTGCTCTCCTCCTCCGTCAATCGCCGCAGGAGCATGCGCTACACTTCGCCTGCAAGGCTGCGCGGCCGTCAGCGCTTGCGGCCGCCCAGGCGCTGAGCCAGAGATTTTCGAGAAGGAATAAACTTACCTCGGCGCGTCTTGCGCGGCCAACCGCGCCCCTCAATCACCTGGGCGCCGCGAGTAATTAGCAGGTGGCGACTGGTGACAATCGGCACTCTTCAAGCGACGACCCCGACGACTGCTGTTTTCCAGCTGCCCAGTCGGACAATTCTCTTGCAGGCGTCGCAGAGCGAACGCAATGTAATTCGGATTTATCCGCGAAATGGAAGGCTTCCTGTTGGTCCCCCAACGAGCAATTCGGATTCCAGCATGCCTTTCATATTTGGCAGCTTGGCTCTGCGTACCGCGAGCAACAACAGTCGCGGCAGCTCAAGAAACGACACGCCCGGCCACTGTTCCTCCACCGATCCCCCAGAACTTTCGCCTTCGCCTTGTGCGTCTCGCACAGGGCGCGCTGCGGTGGTTGCGCCGCCTCCGGCTCCGTGGCCACCAAACGTGTCTGTCCTCTTCTTCCCCCCTGCGCGTCTCGCAGAGGAGAGGCTCGACCGCTGTCAGCCCCTGCGAGATGTGTTCCGCATTCAGCTGGGAGGTGGCGCCGCAGCGGCACTGCAGCGGTGGCGCCGTCTCCTGCTTCTCGACCTCGTCGCTGTCGGCCTTCTTTTTTCTGACGCGCCTCGCCCAGGAAGGACGGGGCCGCCGCCAACGTCTGCGGAATGTGCTTCGAGGTCAGCTCGGAGAAAAGGGGCCATCTAGTGTTCGCACTTCTTGCGCTTTGGGTTGTGCAGACTCTGCGCATCTACCGACTCGGTTCAACGCGCTGCGGGTGGCAGCAGTCGTGGTAGTAGCACTTGAGACTGCAACCGGCATCGATGCCGTGTACGAACTGCTGCCGCGGAAACTCTGCCTTTGCCCCTGTCGCGCTGCTCAGGGCCCAGACTGGCTGCTGCAGCGCTCCTTCGCAGTCAGAACGAAACGGTGCCCGACGTCGCCGGTGGAGCTGCACCGACTCGGAAACGTGCCGCACATCTTCGGCTTCCGGGAGCGGCGCCCTCACTGCCACATTTACTCCCGAGCATCGCAGGGCGGAAGACGGCGGCTTGCTCTTGTCCACGAGTCTGCCGCGCGGGCCTCGACAGTTCAGCCTTCGGGAGCGCGCCCGCGCACTCCACGAGGGAGCGAACTCCTTCCGCGTTGGCATCGACAGCGTCCTCCGCGCAAGCGGGATTGCGCCGCACACAACGTCGTAATCGCCCAGGGCGAAGAATAAAATTGCTGAACTTTGAGTTCGAATTCGGAGCCATTTTGCCGGTCGCACGGAGCAGCGGGAATCCCGCCCAGAACTGCTTGTCGCCCTTCGGGCATTTTGCCGTGACTCGGCTTTCAACCTATTCGTGGCTTTGCGCTCTCTGGCTGCTTGCAAGAACCGCTCTGGCAGCTCGCCAGGACAGACTCATCCGCCTAGAAAGAAGATCGGTTCGAAGGGATGTGCCACGAGCAACACGCTTGCCTCCGTGACGCAGGGCAACGCGACGCATCTCTTCATACTTGCAGAAAAACTACGGCGGCGGACAGCTGTCGTGGCCCAAGTCGGGGATCTCGGCGCGCATCGTTTGGCCCGTGACAACGTCAATGATTGTGAGAAAGTGCGGGGCGAGCGGATAGCCGCGCCGCAGAATCTGTGTAGCCAATGCTGCGTCACTGGCGTCGCCGGAAATCAGTTCGGCGGCAACCTGTTATACTGCTTCGCACGTTGCGTCGCCATATCCATGTACAACGCTGCCAGAATATCAATCAATGCGATATTGGAACCCGTTCTGACCTTCAATCGCGCGAGGTCCGTCCGAAAGTTCCCACCCTTTCAGGATGCACTTCTCGCCGTCGTGGATGCTACACTCTTTGAACTGGATCCCGCTGCTGTACGTCACGCGGTCGGGCATATCCATACACGCCGGCAACAAGGACAGGATGTTTCCAGTCTTCCGAGTGCGGTGGGACAACCATCTTCGCTCCTGCTCATCCAGCTCTCCTTATCGGATGTGGGAGGCGCGTCCGCGGCTTGGATCTAGGAAGACGCGGCACCGCTGTGCCTCGCCTCGCTGTCTGCTGGCCGAAGAACGAAGGGGCCCCAGGACACACGGATAAAAACACACACACACACACACAAATCCCAGGACTCCCCACATCTTCCCATATGTTCTGGGTGTTCGTCTTCCCCCCCGCTGCCCATATCTTCACCTGTATCCCAGGGAATCGACGACCACTCGTCGTGTGCCTTCTCCCCTCCCGAAAGAAGGCCTGGGCTGCGTGTGTTTTCTCCCCCCCCCCACGTCTTCCCATCTGTTCTGGGCGGTCGTCTTCCCCCCCTGCTGCCCATACTTTCCCCTGCTTCCTAGGGGATCGACGACCGATCGTGTCTGTGTGCTTTCTCCCCTCCCGAAAGCAGGCCTGGGCTGTGTGTGCTGTCTCCCCTCCCCACGTCTTCCCATCTGTTCTGGGCGTTCGTCTTCCCCCCATGCTGCCCATAGTTTCCCCTGTTTCCCAGGGAATCGACGACCACTCGTCGTGTGCTCTCTCCCCTCCCGAAAGCAGGCCTGGGCTGTGTGTGCTTTCTCCCCTCCCCACGTCTTCCCATCTGTTCTGGGCGTTCGTCTTCCCCCCCATGCTGCCCATATTTTCCCCTGTTTCCCAGGGAATCGACGACCACTCGTCGTGTGCCTTCTCCCCTCCCGAGAGCAGGCCTGGGCTGCGTGTGCTTTCTCTCCCCTCCCCACGTCTTCCCATCCGTTCTGGGCGGTCGTCTTCCCCCCGTGCTGCCCATGTTTTCCCCTGTGGATCGACGACCGATCGTGTCTGTGTGCCCTCCTCCTCCTCCTCCCCCTCCTCCTCCCCCTCCTCCTCCTCCTCCTCCTCCTCCTCCTCCCCCTCCTCCTCCCCCTCCCCCTCCCCCTCCTCCTCCTCCTCCTCCTCCTCCTCCTCCTCCTCCTCCTCCTCCTCCTCCTCCTCCTCCTCCTCTCCTCCTCGTCCTCCTCGTCCTCCTCGTCCTCCTCGTCCTCCTCCTCCTCCTCCTCCTCCTCCCTTCCTCCTCCTCCCTCCTCCTCCTCCTCCTCCTCTCCTCCTCCTCCTCCTCCTCCTCCTCCTCCTCCTCCTCCTCCTCCCTCCTCCTCCTCCTCCTCCTCCTCCTCCTCCTCCTCCTCCTCCTCCTCCTCCTCCTCCTCTCCTCCTCCTCCTCCTCCTCCTCCTCCTCCTCCTCCTCCTCCTCCTCCTCCTCTCCTCTCCTCCTCCTCCTCCTCCTCCTCCTCCTCCTCCTCCTCCTCCTCCTCCTCTGTTCTTATTCTTCTTCGTATGAGTATTATTATTATCATTATTAGTAGTATTAGTATTAGTAGTATTATTATTAGTAGTATTAGTATTAGTATTATTATTATTACTACTATTATTATTATCAGTATTATTATTATTAGTAGTAGTAGTAGTAGTAGTAGTAGTAGTAGTAGTAGTAGTAGTAGTAGTAGTAGTAGTAGTAGTAGTAGTAGTATTGTTACTCCTCCTCCTCCTCCCCTTCCTCCTCCACCTCCTCCTCCTCCTGGACGAGGGCACGCGCAAGGTCGCCCCCTCTGCGGGTCGAGCGAAGGGTTCAGAAGCAGCAGGAAAACGCCACGAACACAAGCTTGTTGCGCTCCGCGCGGATTTCTTGGATCCGCGCTGGACCCCCCTCCCTGGCGCGCGGAGCGCGCCAGGGGCGGCGCCGGAGGCGCCGCCGGGGAGCCCAGGCGCGGATTTGAAAAATCCGCGCGGAGCGCCAAAAGTTTATGCTTATGTGTTTTGTTCTGCTTCGGGTCCCGCGCAACGTCCCCCCCCCTGCAGGTCGAGCGAAGGGTTGGCGCCCGCGCGGGCGCGATGCAAAACTTCCGGGCCATCGCTCATAAAGCCAGGGCAGCGACTTCCAACAGTGAACTGCCTCCCTGTCCTCATCCTACACCTGCGCCCTTCCTCCCCTGTCACGAATGCCCTCCCTTCCCTGTCCTCCCTGCTTACCGCCCCTGGGCCTCGCACTCCCTGCCTGCCCCCCCCCCCCCACACCCCCCAGGCGGCACCGAGGCTACGAGCCCCCCGAAGCGAGGCCGCGTCGGGCAAGGACGCGCCGAAGCCACGATCTCTGGCGAATCGAATCGTATTCGCGTCCCCGATGCCACGATCCCGTGCAAATTACGCTGTGTTCGGCTCCTGTCCCGGCAGCCACGGTCCATTGCAAAGTACGCCGAGGAACCCAAAGACCGTCGATGCCGCGCGATTTTGCCCCACGTAGCCTCAAGCAGCTCCCAGTCGTCTCGAAAGGGCCTCCAATACACAGCATGAAGGGGAAGTTCAAAAAGGCAGCACAAAGCTCAACAATATCAACTGGATCTCGAATTGTCTTGAAGACCCGCCGGCCCCCTTGCGGGACCATCAGGCTGCGAGGCTTAGGCTTGCTGCTCCCTGCTCCCTGCTCCCGTTCCACTGTCCATTGTGATAGTTTTACGTTCTGCTTCCGACTGTAAATTGTTGAAGTCCGAGCGAGGGCGGGTGCCGAAAAGCGGCCTGGCTACCACGCTCGAGTCGCGTTGTCTGAATTCCTGGGGGGGCGTTGGACGTGTAAAAATTCTCATACGCACCTCTCCGAGGGAGTAGAGCTCAGAGGCGATTAATGCGCACGCGTCCGCGATTTTTCTGGGCGTTTCGCTCGGGACATCCTCGAAATTCTGAAAATCGGTGGCACCCCTCACGCAGATCGCGACGTCAGGGTCCAAAAACACATGGGAAATTCAACATTTTAACATAAAACCTTCAAAAACACATGGTAATTTCAATAATTGTGACCCCGATTCTCAGTGAATGGCGGTTTCGCTTGAAAAATCCTTCCAAAATCGAGCCCCAGACCCCGCCTCGGAGCCTCCTGGGGGCCTCCTGGAACCTCCTGGGGCCTCCTGGGCCTTCTGAACCTTCTGGCACCCCAGACCCCGCCTCGGAGCCTCCTGGGGGTGTCCTGAAACCTCCTGGGGCCTCCTGGGGCCTCCTGCGGCCTCCTGGAGCCTCTTGGGGCCTCCTGAAGCCTCCTGGGGTCTCCTGGGGCCTCCTGAGGCCGCCTGGGGCCTCCTGGGGCCTCCTGGGGCTTCAGAACTACATGCACACAGAGACACAAATCACGCCCAACACATCACACGCTAGACAAACATAACACACACACACACACACACACAACACCTACAACACACAAAAAGCACGCACCACACGAAGCATACATCACACACACACACACACACACACACACACACACACACACACACGCACAACACTCACAATCCTGGGGCCTCCTGGAGCCTCTTCTGGTATCCAAGTCGGGCCTCCTAAGGTTTCCTGGGGGCCCTGGTACACACATCGCAAGGTGTGGCAACCCCACTTGCGCTCGAGTGCGACTTCGATGTTGCATTTCACTCCTGCTTCAAACGCCCATTCAGTTTTTTGTATGAGCCTGGGCACACACGTGCCACTTGTACATAAAATAGCGTCCCGGGCCATATTCCTTTGTAAATTACACATTGTTCGCGTCCCCGAGGCCACAAACCCTCGTACATTACACAGTTGTTGCGTCCCCGAGGCAACAAGCCCTCGTACATTATATTCGCGAAACCGAAGCCATAAACCCGTGCAAAATACGCAGTAGTCGCATTGCCGAAGCCAAGAGTATTCCAAGGCGCCCGAAGATGGTTCCAAGACGGCCCAAAAGAGCGGAGAAAGGCCCCAAGCGCTCTCCAAGAGTCCTCCCGAGAGGGCCCCAAGAGGCCAAGATCATGGATGCTTGAAGGATTTGGGCCTTCTTGCATGTTCGGCCTTCCGGCGCTCCCAGACGGCTCAAAAAGCTCCCCAAAACGCCCCAAGACAGCCCAAGACGCCTCCAAGAGCAGGGGAACAAAAACTGACATAAACATAAAAACTCGGAAGTCCGCGCGGATTTCTCGGATCCGCGCTGGACCCCCCCTCCCTGGCGCGCGGAGCGCGCCAGGGGCGGCGCCGGAGGCGCCGCCAGGGGGGTCCAGCGCCGATCCGAGAACTCCGCGCGGACCTCCGAGTTTTTATGTTCATGTCTCTTTCTGTTCCCCAAAAGAGGACCCCAAGAACGCCCAAGAGGGCTCCAAGATGGCCCCAGAAGCGCTCAAGACGGCCCAGGAGGGCCCCAAGACAGCCCCAAGAGGGGCCCAGACAGGGGACCACGCACCGAACATTCGATAGCTGTGCCCTCCAGGTGCCCCCCAGAGGTCGTCGAGAGGCCCCAATGAGGCGTCCGCGCCAAAGACGCGCCCAAGAAGCCTCCAGGAGGCCAAAAAGATACTCCACGAGGCCCCAGGCCTCCAAGAAGCCCCCGAGAGGCTCCCCACGACACCCCAGCACGCATACACACAAGAGGCCTCAGGCCCACAACCCGGGCACGGTGGCGGGAGGGGCAAGGGCCACTAGGATAACGCCAACGTCTTAATATGCACTGATGATTCCTATCCGCCCCCGCACCATGTTCCCAGATGCACCAAGGCAGCGCCGAGACGAACCGACGCGACTCTGACAAGTCACATTATGATAGAGAGGGGGCCGGCGGCAGGGGGCAAAACCATTACGGATTACCCATCGTCCTCGCATGAGGTTTCGGCATCGCCTCACGACGGTGTCCATGCACCCCAACATAGCTCTCGCATGCCCAAACTCTGGCAGGGACGGAGCCGGCGGCAGAGGAGGGCGAGCCCCTGACGGAAAATTATGGAAGGGGGCGGGAAGGCCGGAGGACGGGGATGGTGGGTGAGAAAGGGTAGCAAAAGTATGGCAGCCCCAATCTCGGCGGTGGACAAACCTCCCTTTAGCAAACCTCCCTTCAGCAAACCTCCCTTTCAGGAAAAGGTCCTGGGACCGAAACCCA